AGCAAAGCAAATTCAAGGCCACCAGAAAGCAGAGCAGAGGCACAGTGCCAGACGGGCAGGGGCCAGGGATCACATGCAGTACTGGGGCCATGTCTCCACGACCCATCCAGATACATTCAGAAATGTGCTCCACAGGTGGTATCTCCGGCGGGAACCCAAAGGCAATCAGGGCAACACTCCACCCTAGCCACACAGCAGGAAGTTTTTGGTTGTTTCTTTTTGTTTTTGTGGTAGTGGAGATTGAATCTCAGAACCTTCACACTGAGCTATACTCTTGTGGTTTTTTTTTTTTTTGGTTTTTTTTTTCTTTCTCCTTTTCAGTCCACAGTCTCATTGAGAGCTCCAAAGTAGCTCCAACCCAGCAAGCCTGTCCTTGTGTTGCAGTAAGCCCCACTCTACCCACAGTTGCAGAGGCAACCACTGCCACCCTTGTTTCTCACTTTGTCCCTGGAGTTCTTACTACCCTGCTTGAACAACGTGTCTGCAACCTGCAGACTCTGCCGGGGTTTTTTGTTTGTTTGTTTGTTTGTTTTTGTTTTTTTCAAAGTTTTATTGATAAACAGATAGCAATGAGAGAGTTTCAAATCAAATCAGAAGTACAGTTTCAACAAATAATACACTGCATATATTCTTCTTAGTGGTTAATTGCTGTACAAGATGTGGACTTGTGATCCTATTTACAAACACCATTAGAACAAATCATTCTATTCATTAAGAGAATGCAACTATATATCTATCCCAACCACTTTGAATACACAGATACAAAATGGACATTCATAGTTATACCCCATTTTTTTTTAAGTTCCGTTATTGAATATTATAGGTATGTAAACTCAGCAAAACATTCCAAAAGAGTCCAGCAGCCCATAATGCATCCTCGATGTTTTTAAGAGATCCTTTCTTAACTTCTCACTAGTTGCACCAGCGTCTTCAAGATCTGAAACTCTGTCCTCACTTTCACTCAAACTGTTTTGTAAGCTTGTGATTGATATTTTAAGTTCCTCTATATCTCTTTGACTCTGCTTCATGTGATCTGTGTCTTTTCTGTGTTGCTCATTTAAGGAATCCATCATTTTTCTAATCTCTATTTTTTTTATCAGTGTCTTCTTTAGTATCAATTATTAATTCTTTTACAACAGTTTTGTTCAGATTGGGATTCCTCCATGTTTCTGTATTTGATTCTTTACTTCAGATGCTATAACTTCAGAGATTTCTTTTTTTATTGCAGAAATTAATTCTGTTCTGAGATCCTATGTACCTTTCTGCTGTTGATTCGTTACTTTTTTTTTTTTTTTTTTTTTCAGAACTGGGGATTGAACTCAGGCCCTTGTGCTTGCCAGGGAAGCACTGAGTCTGCTGAGCCATCTCCCCAGCCCACGTTACTTCTGATGCTATTAATTCATAAATTTCAGCTGAGCTAGTGTCCTCTGCATTTGTTCTGGGAGGGCATTGGGTTTCCTCCATATGTTTCTATAGTTGCTTCTTTACTACAGATGCTGTGACTTCACAGATTTTTTTTTCAAAGTTTTATTGATAAACACATAGCAATGAGACAGTTTCAAATCAAATCGGAAGTAAAATTTCAACAAATAATACACTGCATATGTTCTTCTTAGTGGTCAATTGCTGTACAAGAAGTGGACTTGTGATCCTATTTACAAACACCATTAGAACAAATCATTCTATTCATTAAGAGA